TGTACACTTTCTCTTCCCCTTACGAAGTGCAATGGGAAGATCAAGGTCAGTGGGATCAGCTGCAACAGTGGTGTTAGGGGCAGAAACATTATCATTAGAAAACATAACAGGCTCAAGAGGAATACCTGGAACTGTATTTTCCGAATCTGGAGTTTCAGAAGGACTGACAGAGAGTAGTGTGGGTCGAGGATGCGTGGAGTCAACCATCATTTGCCGGCACTGATATTGTTGTGAGGCTGTCCGTAGTGGCTCAGGTAATGAAAATAGAGGTGCAGGTGCTGGCTGAACCGATGCTGGCTGAACTGATGGTGCTGGTGTTGGCTGAACCAATGGAGGCACCACAGAAACATGAAGAGGAACATATTGTGAGTTCTCTTCCCCAAAACTCTCCCCCTGAGGAGAACCACTCGAGAAGAAGAATGTGGATTCAAAAAAGGTAACATCCATAGTGACAAATTTGCTCCTCGATACTTGGTCATAACAGCAATACCCCTTTTGGTTCTGAGCATACCCAAGAACACTTTCTCGGCCTTAGGATCAAATTTCTTGCGATGAGGGCCGAGAATGTGAACAAAAGAAACACACCAAAAAACCCTCAGAGGTATATGAAATATCTCTCCATCTGGAAAAAAGAGGCAAAATGGCACCTTGAACCCCAAAGTCCGTGAAGGAACACGGTTAATCACATGTATGGTTGTAAGAACTGCATCTCCCCAGAACTGCACAGGGACTGAAGCGCGCACCATAAGACTCCTTGCCACCTCTACAATGTGTCTGTTTTTCCTCTCAGCAACTCCATTCTGTTGTGGTGTGTATATGTACAATTGCTCTGATGAACTACACCATGTTCTAAGAGATACGTGGTTAGATCCTTCTCAAAGTACTCTCTGGCATTATCTGATCTAAAACCTTAGTTCTCACTCCAAATTGTGTGGGAACCATCTGGTGGAATTGTCGTACTAAATTAGGAACCTCGTCACGTGATTTCATCAAATCTAGCCAAGAATATTGTGTATAATCATCCACAAACAAGAGAAAGTAACGGAATCGTCCCATGGAAGGGATTTGATATGGCCCCCATACATCAGTGTGAACAATATTAAAAGCAAAAGTACTTCTTTTATTACTTGGTTTAAAAGACTGTTTACAATGCTTTCCTAATTGACAATTCTCACACTCCAAAGTAGATAAATAAACAGACTCAAACAACTTTGGGAAAAGGCATTTCAAAGAATTAAAAGAAAGATGTCCCAAGCGATTGTGCCAAAGCATAATCTGGTTTACTGACTCTGACCAACTACTACTGCTAACATGATGGCCCTGATGTCTCGGAATCTCATCCAGAAGGTAGGCTCCATTCACCTCACGACCACTCCCAATCATCTTCTTTGACTCCAGATCCTGCAAAACACAATTACCAGGAAGAAAGGTCACATAACAATTCAAATTTTTTGTCAAAGAACTAACAAACAGTAGGTTGGTATGAAGTCTAGGGACATGTAAAACAAAGGACAGAGTTATATCATTGGTCACTCTAATTGTTCCCTTCCCAACAATAGGCATATGTGAACCATCTGTTGTAGAGACTTTGTCTCTACCAGAGCACAGCTGATAGGAACTGAAAATGGTAGGGTTATTAGTCATATGCTCAGATGCTCCTGAGTCTATAATCCAGGGAGGTCCCTCCTTACCTGAAGTGGATGCAAGATTCGCAATTGCATATGGACTACCTGCATGTGCAAAGGAAGTGGTGTAGTTGGCTCCTGCATTCTGCTGTCCATCTGGAAGGGTAGGGCTGGGTGAATCTTTCTTACTCATAAGCTGTCCAAACCTCTCCAATTCTGTTCTCACTGCTGCTACTGCAATGGATTCCCAATCAGTTTGGGAGAGAGGAGCTGAAAAGTCTCCTGTAGTGGCTACATTTGCATTTCCCTTCTTGTTTCTTATTTGAGCAAGCATAAGATTTGGGTGAAGCTTCCAACAAGTGTCCCTGGTATGCTTAGGCTTCTTGCAATAATCACACACCAAGTTCTTCTTATCTTCCCTTCTAGTCTCATTACTGCCCCTGTCTCCATTCGGCTTAGGTTTTGTTGTACCAACCATAGCCGACTGGTCAATCCCAGGCTGTCTCAGCATTACATTCCTCCTACTCTCCTCTCTAGAGACAAAAGCATAGGCTTGAGAGAGTGTCATACTCTCCCTAGAAAGAATATGCTGCCTAGCAATGTCAAATTTTGGGTTCAACCCTGCCAAGAACTCAAAAACCCTATTCCTCTCTACCAGTTTGTGATAAGTTGCTGCATCATTTACACTTTCCCATACCATAGTTTCTAAGTGATCTATTTCCTGCCATAGGGTTTTCAGCATGGAGAAATACACAGCAAGAGGTTTTTCTCCCT